GCTTTTATTGAAATTATATAAGATTTTTTTTTTAGTTAAGTTATTTAATTCAATGTTTTTTATTCTTATTGCTATTTTAACAAGTAGCTTGCTTAGAATTTCTAATAAGCTTGTTGTTATATCATTAATAATAGATAGAAATATCTTAGATAAAACTCTTTTTTGTAGCTCTTGATTATCTGATTTTGTTACTAATTTTAACTATTTCTCAATAAGTTTTAGGGCATCATTTATATCATCATGATGTTTTTCAAGTTCAGTACATGATATAAATATCAGCTCTAAAAACATTCAATTATTTCTTTTTTTACACAAATTTTTATATATCAAAACTGGGATATTTTATTTATTATTCACTATTTTATTTAAATAAAATCTTTTAAAATCTCCTTTTACAAAATTAAATCTCATTCTAATAATTCTTTTCATAATCAAACTGATCTTTTAGCTAAACAAGATATCTTTAAAAACTTAATTAAATCCAACTTTACAACATTACTTCCTAATCATTTTAAATAGCATAACTATACAATACTTACTAAAATCTAAATATTTCTACAAAACACAATTACTATACAATTACTTCTCTCTTAGTTACAACTTAAATTCTTTTAAAACCTATTTTTGATTAAATGGTCAGTAAATGTTGATATTATCAATTCTTCAAATAATAATTAAAAATTTTATATTTTTGTCTTAAAATTATTAATAACAACCTATCTACTATGCAAAACCTTGACTTACAATATTTACTCTTATATACTACTCTAAATTGCATTTATTGTCAAACTTTTGAAGATATATTATATCTCTTTACATGTTCTAAACAAAAATATAATCTTTAACAAATTCTTCGAACTTTAATTTTAAATACTACTTAATAATTAAATCTCTCTATTGAACTTTCAGATAAAATCTATATTATCTTGTCACAACAAACAAACACTTCATTACACTTCTACTTTCTTAATCTTATTAAAGTTCTTTTCTTTATATCTTATTACAATAATATTAAAATATTACTTCATAAAACAACATCATCCTTCTTTATAACCCTATCAAATACTACTCTAAATTGGTTTCACCAACATATATAACTATCATATAACATCTTTTAACAATAATAGAAAAAAACTCACAATATAACTAAAAAATTTAAATATTCAAAAATATACTTCTTAGTTTTATCTTCTCAATCTAATTTCAATACTTCAATACACCTACTATAAATCCAACTATATTTATTAAAAACTGGTTAATTCTAGACTATATACTTACTAACTGTATTTACTAAATATCAAGACTATCATTTTAGGTTTCTTTCAATCTTTTTATACTTAAAATTAATTTGAAATAATTAATAATAATGTTATATAGAAATGAAGATGTAATGTCATATTGGGTGTCTTAAATAAGTAGCACAAATGTAGTTTAGAAATCTTTAATGTAATTACTTCTATTACCTAATAAAGTTTCTACTTTGACATAACAAAAAAAAAAAACAAAAAAAAAAAATAATGAACAAAATTTCTAATATTAGAAATTTTAGGAAAGGCATATTTATATTTTATGTTCTATTCAGAAATATCTGAATTTATGACTAATCACCATAACTATCTCTTTCTTGCATAAATTGACACTGGTATTATGTAACACCAGTTCTAGTAACACAGATGAAACAGCAAGTCAGTCACTTCTCAATTAGATATATTGTGTAATCTACAAATAGCTTAGTCAATAAAAGACAGTTAGATTTGAAGAATGATGTATTTATAATTGTAGGTTTTATAATATAATTAAACAAGGAATTATTAAAAGCAAATTTTATGATAAGCACAAACTGAACTGTTCTTGTAAGGCTTGAAATTTTTATTATATATTATTTACATATGCGTTCTTTGAGGTATTAAACCTATTAAACCCATTAAACATATTATCCCTATTATCCCTTATATACCCCTGCAATGTCCTGTATTCCTTAAACCCCGTATATCTTATATGTATACATTATTGGGCAAAAATTTGTGAATAACGGCGATTTGCCCAGTTGAGCCAAATTGCCGTTATTCACAAATTTTTGCCCAATAATGTATACTTAACCAGCGTTTGCGTTTATTTCCCTTATGGCCCTTATTAGATGTAAACGACTTTTAGGAGCGATAATCCCGGGAAGCCCATATTAGGTAGGTGATCGACATAGCCGTTAATTGTTACTGCGCCACATCGATCGCCTCCTTCCACGTGCTTCCGGGATCACGTTTCACGGCTCACACTAGGCTACATGCACCATAGTATGCTAATTTTATATATTCAAATGCGATTTTTGCACTATACTCCACTACTTTACTAAACCATACATCACTACCATCCGCAATACCGAATCCGGTATAAGGGTATCCGTTATATCGATAGTTGACAACTAGTTGATTGGCAAAATTTTTACCAACTCGGAACACCACTCTCCAGATTAGGGTGCGTCAATTTCATATGCCTAAGATGTGTTACTGGGAGATTGGACTTATCAAAATCAGCCGACATGAGTACAACAGTACACAACAGCGAAAATAGTATAAAACCTCTTATCTTTGATATTTTTGGATGCAACAAACCTTGGCGCCACTAAATTCCGAGAATTACAAATCGATTAGATAATCTAATAGACTTGGTGGCGTTACTATCATTAATCTATTTCTCAATCATTAGTTAGAAACTTGTTAACATACGTATTAAAATAATTGCATAGTATGTACGTATTAATAGACGCAATAAATATATATCAAATATAGTTTTAAGGAAAGTATGTACGCGCACATAAGTTCATTCGTAAGTAGCTGCTAAACAATTGATGTTTAAATGCAAATTGTTTAATCGCGCATATTTTTAAATGCATAAAAATTTTTGGTTATGCATATACAGCTTATATATACTACCTAGATGTATGACGAATAGTACACTATCGGATTTGGCATGGCTGATACGTAGATTCAAAGAATTTCAAGTCTATAATGACATATGCTATGTGCTATCGCTGTTGTATCAGATTTCTAGACGTAAATACGTACGTATAAAAAAGCAAAGCCACCATAACAAATAATATTAATTTTTATTGTAATCAAGATTATTTATTTATTTTGTCCATCTTGGCCTAATAAAGCAATATTAAAAAAATGAAAAAATAAATCTAAACAACTGCGCTATATCGATGTTCGAAAGATTCTTTCCCAACATTACCAAATGTGTATTGATTTTAGTCAGGTGCTTGTTTCTGCCCAAAGATTGGACATATCGAGATTGTGTGTATTTTGATTATGGAGATCACAAGACCACCATTGGTTCATTTTGGTCAGGGATATAATGTATGTAATTTATTTACTGATGCGGAGTAACGAGTGGTTTTGTAATACATTTGGCTAATAGGGCTGTTAAGTGTTTGTTAAATACTTTTCGGTATTATGCGCGAAATTTTATTCTTTATACATTTACTGAATAAAACTTATTTTTTGACTTTATTTAAATGAGAATATCAATATGTAACGGCATTCCTCTAACCTATCATAATCCTAATATAGTGCAGTAATATTAGCATTTATCTAAGTTTCAATATATAGCCTTGCAAAAAAAACTTATGTTTGAGAATTAACCTCACTTTTAGCAGTTCTCGGAATGTTAGCAAGAAGTAATTATGTATATTGAATAGAACCAAAAAAGGATATAAATCAAAGTAAATGTTCCAATATCAAACAATTATATACTTTACATACTTTCTACAATGTTGAAATGCATCATCATATGGATCATCTTAAATAGTTTTTAGGACACGTTACTCGAATTGAACTTTCGAATTGAATTGTGAAAACAAATAGTTTTACTCTAGTATTGCACACCTTAAACAATTAGGACTCTAGAATTCCGGTTTTGAGTGTACAGTCATTGTTTTCGGAGTTTCAGCTTAGAACCCCGATTAGAATTAAATTATTGCGTTGCCTTGACTAGAGTCATGATTGTACAACTTTATGTGTCATTTGTTAATGAACTTATAAGGTAATACAAAAATAGAAAATTTTTAAAAAGCGAATACGTAATCTATCGTAACATTGAAGGTTTTTACTATGTGCACACATAAACTATTTAGCGATGAAGCATTCCACAAATACTTATAATAGTTCGGTTTCACAAATTCCATGATTATCCATCCTTTCTTTGAAATTATCTAATCTCATTTGCATTAGCTATACAAAATTAATTAATTGGTTTTATAACCCGGCCGGGTCAAAATTTAAAAGCTTATAAAAAAATTTTTTTATTTTTTAATAACTGGGTGGGTTTTTAAAATTTTTTTTTTCAAAAATTTATATGAAAAATTAAAAAAAAAAGCCGGCCAGCCGGGTCTGATCAAAAGTTTTATGTTATAAAAACCAAGTTACGTATTAAATTTGTGTGGCCTTATGATTACCATAAAAAGTGAATTTATACGTCCTTTAAAAAAATTTTTGGCTAATTTATTATCATTTTATATATAAAGTACATAAGTATGTACGTATGTTACATGCTTTTATTTTTTACATCCTTCAGCTTGTTATAAAAATAAATTATATATCATGTGACAGGCTTTAAATAGAAAATTTGATCATACCGTTCTATGAATAAAATAATAAATTAAATAAATATAAATAAATATGTATAGTTATTTAAATTTTAATTGTACAACATCAGGGTTTTTTTTTTGTAAAAGTATATCGATATAGCATTTATTTTCTAAAAATTAGATTTAGCATTTTTTTTCTTATGTAGAAGTTCTTTTTTCTCTCTTTTTCTTTTTTTCGCTTTTTTTAAAAATAAAAAATAATACCATTGTATTTACGGAAAATAATACCTCTTTACAGTAATATTACACTCTGTAAGCGGCTTATTTTATCTTTTTACTATAAATTATTTAATTCGAACTAAATAATTTTAATGTTTAGCTGCCTGCTTAAGGAAATTAATTAATTTTACTAAAGATGTCTGAGCAATTTTATAGTGCTCACCAAACTAACAAAGGTCATTCGGGTCCAACAGATTTCATGTACACTACTAGGAGTTCTGATACTTCATGGCCTTATTTTCAACAACCTTCGGATTCCAGTAATCAAAATCTATTTCCAACTTTTAGTTCAGATTCAAACAACCCAAATATGTTTCCAACTTATAGCTCAAATTCTGAAGATCAAAATATGTTTCCAACTTATAGCTCGAATTCAGAAAATCAAAATATATTTCCAACCTTTAGTTCAGATTCTAATCTATTTGATAACCTCTTTAGTTCTACTGAAATAGATTTCACTCTATGGCCAAATGATCCTCCCGCTATTCCTCCAAGGCCCCTAAGTATTCATCATCATCAAAACATTCAAGCAACAAATTCAACTAATCTTGGCATTCATCATTCTACCGGTATAAACCCTGTGGGTGGTCGATCATCTGATGTCGGATTTAGTAATACTTCATTAGAGTTTCAAAATACGGGTGGAGATATTCTGCTTGCAGATGAAACCACTAATGCCCCGTTAAACAGCAGTTTTCCCGTTTTGGCCAATTCAGATAAAAATAATAACATACAAAATTTTAATGATCAAAAGGAAGACCAACCGTTAAGTCCTACTACTAGTCTTAACGGTACTAATAAACTTACTAGAAAAAAACCAATAAGTCATTTACATTTAAAAAATCGTAAGAAAAGATTTTCTAAAGAACAACAACAATTAATCTCTCCAAATACTACTACTTCTCCTTTTTCTTCTCCGAACGTTATTCCTTCTCCCGCTCAGTCTCCAAGAATTATTCCTTCTCCTGTTCAATCTCCAAAAATTATTACTTCACCTATTCAATCTCCAAAAGTTATTCCATCACCCTCTCTATCTCCAAGAGTTACTCCTTCCCCAAACATCATTCCTTCTTCTTCTTCTCTTTACTCTTCAAAAATTCCTTCTTATTCTGAAGAAAGTTTACATAGTCTAAATGTTCGTTCTCCAAATATTGGCGCTTCTTTTTCTGAAACACATCTTCCCGCCATAAATTCCTCTTCTCAAAATAATCTTTCTCAAAGTAGACCTACTACTCCTTTATTAATCCCAATTAATTATAATAATCATGGCAAACAATCTTTTAGTACTCCTTCTTCTCCTGTATTATCTCCAAAAAGTTTTAACAACTATGGTCAAGAAGAATTTAATTATAATAACAATACCATTAGAAACTCTCAATCTACTTTTGCTTCAAATAATAGTAGCTTTGAAAATCATTATAATTTACCAAAATCCCCTTCTCCTGATTATATAAATCGTTCAAATAGTTCTTTTGATCAATTAGATTATCCAAATAATCTTCATGATCGTCGTCCTAGTCATGCTTCAACTTTTAATAGTTATATTAGTGATGGAACTAATATAACTTCTATTTCAAATTTTAATAATCAAAATACTAAATCTAATAATAAATCAAGGCACAAACCACAAAAATCTGTTGGAAAAATTTCTAATCTATTTAAAAGTACTTCAAAAGATCATAATCCAATTTATCAACAAGCTATTCAAGCTTTAGAAGATTTACAATATAGTCAAGCTATTTATTTATTTACTCAAATCTTAAAAGAACATCCTAATAGTTACTCAATTAGGTGTGATCGTGCTTATGCTGCTTATCAAGTTGAAGATTGGGATAGAGCTATTAACGATTTAAATCAAGCTATTACCAAGAAACCAAAAAAAGCTCGAGCTTATTCTTTAAGGGGTGAAGTTTATCGTTTAAGATCTATGTTTGATAAAGCTTTGGCAGATCTTAATAAATCTTTGAAAATACAAAAAAGTATTTTCGCATTAAGATCAAGAGCTGAAGTTTATAGTTCTACTCAACAATATCGTGAATCTATTTTAGATTTAGATTTAGCTTTAGATATTGAACCAAAAAATGTTTTCACTATGGTACGTAGAGCAAAAGTTTATTGTTTACTTGGATTATATGATAATGCTTTGAAAGATTTGAATTATGCTCTTGAAATTGATAAGAGTAATGCAGCTTCAACATTAGCAAATCGTGGAGAAATTTATCGAATTATAGGACGTTATGATTTAGCTCTTGTAGATTTAGATACAGCTTTAAAAAGTGAAGAAAATATAATGGCATTAGAAAGAAGAGGATTAGTTTATAGATCTTTAAATAAAGATCAAGATGCTTTATCAGATTTTGATAGAATTTTACAAAAAGAACCTCGACATTTTAACGCTCATAAGAATAAAGCTGAAATTCTTACAAAAATGGAAAAATATGAAGAAGCTCTTACTCATATGAGTATTGCTTTACAAATATCACCTTTTGATTTTCAATTATTAAAAAATCAAGGTGAAGCTTATCATTCTCTTGGTTATTATGATGATGCTATAAAAGATTTTACTTCAGCTTTAAGAATTGATCCTAATGATGTAGAAATACTTCGAAAAAGAGGTGAAATTTATCGATTACTTCAAGATTTTGAAAAAGCTTTAAATGATTTTTCAAGAGCTATAGAACTTGACCCTACTTGCGTATATGCATTAGCTCGACGTGGTGAAGTTTATAGAATGGCAAAACAAGGTCATAAAGCATTAAAAGATTTAGATGAAGCGATTAAACTTGATCCTGATAATGTAATGGCACGTGAAAGTCGTGGAGCTGTTAATAGAACTTTAAGAAGATATGAAGAATCATTACAAGATCTTGATGAAGCAATATACTTAAATCCAAATAGTGTATTTGCACTTACAAATCGTGGAGCAGTTTATCATATGTTGAAAAGGTATCATGAAGCATTGGCTGATTTAAAGAAAGCTCTTAGACTTAATCCGAAACATGCTTTCGCATTAGAAACTCGAGGTGCTTTGTATAATAATTTGGGTAGACATGAAGAAGCGCTTACGGATTTGAATACGGTATTAGGATTAAATTCATCTAATGTTTGGGCATTAACTTATCGAGGAGAAGCATTATTATCATTAGGAAGGTATGATGAAGCATTACAAGATTTAAATAAAGTACTGGAGACTTTACCTGATTGGGGTTATCCGTTATCGATAAGAGGTGCCGTTTATCGAGCTTTGAAATCAAATACTAAGGCAGTATTAGATTTAGATCGAGCATTAGAAAACATAAGAGATAGAGCTTTTAATATTGATCATGAAACTAAAGCTTTATGCAATCGAGGAGCTGTCTATAATACATTAGGGAAATATAATGAAGCGTTGACCGATTTGAATAAGGTTTTATTAAGAGATCCGAGCAATGTAATTGCATTATGTGAACGAAGTGCAGTTTATGATGCTTTAGGAAAAAAAGAGAAAGCGGTGGTGGACATTGATAAGGCGGTAGCACTTGAACCTGGAAATGAAGCCGCTATTAATCAACAAAAAAAACTTAAATCATAATAATTTATAGACATTTCTAGTTGGAATGTCTATTCATATATACTTAAAAGAAAATGGACAATTTTTTGTTTTATATGTTAAAATTTTTTCTAAATTATCAGTACATACACACACGTGGTTTTTTTTCGATAATGTATATTTAGACTTTTTTTTTTTCTTATAAATAGCTGTTTTTTTAATAACATATTTATTAGTTAACTTGTTTTATGATTTATTCTTTCGTTTTTTTCAAATAATTTCTTATTAAAATTTACTTCAAGGATGTTTGTTAATTGCATGGTTTTCGTAATTTGCATATATTATTTTTTAAAGAATAAAGAGAGTACATGTTTCAGTTGTGTTTATATATTTACGAATAATGTTAATGCTAAGACAAAATAGTTCTTATATTGACTATCAACTGTGACGATCATGAAATTTGGTTAAGTATTTATGACATTATGTTACCATAAACTTGCTTACTAGTTTGATCATCTCAGGTGTATAGACGCCAAGTTTTAAATTTCATAAAACAAGAATAATCTACATCTCAGAATCAGTGATTAGTTTGTTTTTAATGAATATCTCTTTAAAATTCTTAGTGATTGTCATTTCGAAGTTTGGATACATTACAATAAAAAAGAAATATTAATAAATCAAATTTTATTCAGTTTTACATCTAATTTGTATATATATTTTTTTAAAAAACTTTATAAAAGTGTAGACATCAACTTTTGTCCATAGTACTTATCAAATTACTAAGTTGCCAATCAGTTTTTTTGAAATGGAATGTACATACGTCAAACTCTGTGCACGTGATTTACAAGTCCAGATACCGATATCGATATATATGAATAATTAGTAGAACCAATCAGAAGTGTGGGGAAAATTAGTAAACTCTTTTTACAACATCTAGTCGCGATCATGATCAAGATCAATACGTACAAATATACGATCAGCATATGAGTGACGAAAACCTGTAAATCATCTCACTCAATGAGTGAAATGATTTACAGGTTTTCCCTTTTCGTCACTCATATTTAATGCCCAAGATAGTATTACGTATTATAAAGACATATTTTTTATAAATGTAGGGTATACAAATATATATTTTTCAAAGCGTATATTATGAGGATATTCAAAGCAATTTATTCCACCCGATCAACTTTTCCGATTATAGACTGTACTACTCGGATCCTTCTTTATATTTATGCCATTTAAAGGTATCAAACTTATCTTTTGGATCAACAAATAACAAAGTAATTTATTAAAATATTACTATAAAGTATTTTGTTTCAAGATCTCCTATTTGAAATTATAGTCTGTCAAACATCAATTTGCAATTCTAAATCAAACAATTAAGCTTAAAGGGATGTCTTGAGTAACTCTCAAATTTATTCTTTCTTACAAAGATTCATTAATGTATTTGGACATAAAATGAGAAGGATACGGTTGAATACAACCCCTAAGTTGACCTCAAAAAGTACTTGTCAAATATGACTTGCATTTACTATTATGCAGATTAAACTTTCAAATCATATTTGAGTTATGCACTTGTAATTTCTACTCACAACAACACAAACTGTAGTAACAGATAAGAGAAGTATTAATAGTAATACAGTGTTACTATTTAATAAATTCATTAGAATTTACAATCTGGGATGTTAACTGTACAAATTTATTTACATATCCAGTTGGTGCATGTTGACACTAGACTCCCTGTCTATCTTTTATGGGGATGTTAATAGAGTAATCTAAAGCAGTGTGGAGTACGCTTTATCAGAGTAAACATCAAAACCACGCTACATTGAGAACTACTACTTCAGATTATATGCTATTTTGAATTAAATTTTACATATTGTAAAATATATTACGTATGCTACAATAATTTTGTTTTTTATTTTTAATACAAACAATTAGCAAAAATTATTTGTACCTTATTTTCGTATAATAACATCCATGAGCGTTATTTCGAATTTGACCCGAATTAAGCTTAATTTAGGCCAAAATTCGAAATTACACCCCTGCGCGTTATTACGCGTAAATACGGTATGTTTAATAGATCTAAAGTATAAACCATTCCATTCATCTTTTATCATAATCTGAAAAGATGCAATGTATGAACTACAAACACGCCAGTATAGAGTGGTTTATATTCCTAGATTACTTTGGAACAAAGATATCTGAAATTTTTTTTTTTTGTTATTTGAGAACATAAATTGATGATTTTATGTACTCATAAATATTTTAATATTCTTAAAAAACAAAAAAAAATTAATTATGCATATATTTTTATATATATCATACGGAACATAAATTAAAATTTTGGTTGTATTGGTTTTCAGAAGAGATCATAATTTTTAAATGAAGTGTTCCCAATTTTTTTAAATGCTCGGGAACACTAAGAGCGTTAGATATCAAACACTGTCCTGCTGTACTAGGATAGTAAATGGCAGAATTATAATTAACCTGAACTAGGCTGTTTAGAACTCAACCCATTATCGAATCAAATACGTTGAATAATTCGGTTTGTCACATTATAAACCGTCTTTGTTGGTTCGTTAACTCAAAAATTTTAAATAGTCCTTTCGTACTAGGTATACATGTATTCGGTTTGTGTAGTACATTATTTGAAACAGTCCTCCCAAAACGGTTTTAACATCCTTAATAAAATATGAAAAGGGACCATGTATTTTCACAGATTGTAAACTTTACTACGTACGTAGAATTTGCCTATGTTCTGTAATTAGGATCAAACTTATCAGGAGACGAACCTAAAATTAAAAAAAAAACGGCCAAGGTCTAGAACGCTTTATTATTTGAAGAAGCAGATCCGAAAAATTTGCCAATAATATATAATTAGTAATTTCCTTTCACGTCATACATTAATTAATAATTTAGATAGCACATATCGGTATCGGTGAATTAGATATTCAACATAATGGTGATCAGTATGGTTCACATTTCCTTTATACCTAGTCATTTTTTATGATTTTATAACATCATGAAAAAGCTATATTTGCATTCAGGCTTAATTACAAAGTATATGCGTATAGATTCAATTACTAAGAATGTAACCGTTTAACCGTTCCATAGTTCCGGGCCCAATTACGTCGGTCATGAGTCAGAGCTGACTGAATTAAATGGTTAACACGGTTAAACAGTTAAACGATTAGAAAAAGGTTAGTCATCAATCACAGAGTACATGCGTATAAATAGAATAGCTAAAAAAATAAAATAGCTAAAAAAAGATTAAATGCCCCTGAAATACGAAACCCTGAGGTGTGTTACGCACTTACGTACATACGTATGTACGTAGTGCTGAGTGAATCATGGGGATAAGTTGGGATCTAGGAGTGTGACAGGTTAGATTAAACCAAAAATGTTATTTCGAACATACGCACGTATTTATGGGGACTACTTTGAGTTTCTAAAAGAATAATTAATGATAAAGAGTTCATAGATATATCATCTATTAAATAATGAGCAGTTGTCAAATAAATAATTATTTCCCAAAATAAATCAAAATAAATCTATCAATGTGGAGAGATGAACTGCTTTCTGATTGCTCGTCGCTATAAATAGTTAGCAAACATTACACAATATTTTTTGTAAAAAGTTTTAATGAATTTTACCCTGACAAATTGAATCTTTAATTCATTCCTTTATTTTGTATTTTCATAACATTTGCTAGTTTCACAAGTTTTTTCAACCTTCAACGAACACTTTCCTTTATTTATGACTATTTGTAATAATCTGAAACCCATTTCAACTGTTTAAAAAGAGAGAAAATGCCAAAAAAATATAAAAAACTATTTAATCAGGATTATAAAAAGATCTTTATGTATTGTGCGAGAACTGCATCTCATTTTCGAGATGATATGTTCCCGCCATGTGATACATCACTTTGGAAGCATAAATCTATTCCTGAATATCATGAACCTCTTGAATGGAAAAGGTGTAAGGTATTTCAATTTAAAAATAATTTGATTTGATTCAATAATTAATGGTATAGTTTATATTCATATTTTCTTTTCAGGATATAACTTCAGATCCTCATTTGTTTATATTTAAAAATAAACAATTAAATACTGATGTTGTTAAAGGGTAATAATCCATGTCAATTCATTATTCAATATATATATATATATATGTTCATAACACTGGCATTGGTAACATATATTGACGATATTTTTATGACAAATTGTTAAAATTGACTATATCTCATGACAAGTCTCGTTAATATTTCAGAGTTATTGGAGACTGTTGGTTTGTGGCAGCTTTAGGTGTTTTGGCAGCTCATCCAAAACTTTTAAATAAAGTGGTTCCTAAATGGACGGCACAAGATTGGTGTCATAGTACTGAACCTGGTAAACAATTGGGTGTTTATAATTTCAGAGATACTGAACGACATCCTGGTAAACTTTCTTTTTTGGCTTAGATTTTCTAATTCTTATATTGCTAAATGAATATTTTATTCACTCGTATGTGTTTTCATCAAAAAGGAATATTCCGTTTTAGATTTTATCGATTTGGAGAATGGATAGAAGTGGTAGTTGATGATTATCTTCCAACAAAGAATCGTCGCCTTATATATGCTCACTCAAAGAATCCTAAGGAAATGTGGTGTTCGTTGCTAGAAAAAGCTTATGCGAAACTTTGCAAATGTTATGAAGCTCTGGAAGGTGGGTCATCTTCCGATGCGCTTGTTGATCTAACAGGTGCCGTTCCAGAAACTATTCAACTACATTCGGAAGAGGGTGAGGATAATATCCTGCAAAAAATGGGTGAAAAAAATTTTGTTGCTATGATACAAGTTGCCATTAGGGAAAAAGCACTAGTGAGCTGTTCCATTGATGTACTCGAGGATGAGATTCAACAAGAAAGGTTACCTAACGGTTTAGTTGTTGGGGTAAGTAATTAACATTGTGAGTTATTAAAATTTTTATGTAAATCTGTAGCTTTAGAGGTAGTAATATGATGTTTTTAGCATGCATATGGAATTACAAATATACAAGTACTCAAAGTCGGTGCCATGTTCAATAAAAATGAAATCATTCTAATACGTCTGCATAACCCATGGGGTGAAGTAGAATGGAATGGTCTTTGGTCTGATAAATCACCAGAATGGCAAAACATTTCCAAATCTAAACGTAAACAATTGGGATTTACCATTGCGGATGATGGTGATTTTTGGATGGTAGATTTCCTTTCTTTAATTTAAATTGTTTTATTTAATTACAATATCTACTTATTTACTTATTTATTTATTTACTTATTTACTTATTTATTTACTTATTCACTCTACTTACATATAATATTTCAGTCTTTTCAAGATTTTATATCAAATTTTTCTACTCTCACAATTTGCCGTTGTATTAACACATCATTATTAACGTTTGATAGGCGTTGGCATGGTGCGATGTTTCGTGGAGAATGGTTAATAGAGAATGAAACAGCTGGTGGATGTATTAACAACGCAGAAACATTTTACCAAAATCCACAATATTCTATCAAAATTCATAAATCTACAATCCTAATAGTATCGTTAATGCAACAAGATAATCATGCAGAAATTGGTGCAGAAAAAATCACTATAGGATTTATTATTCTTAAAGTTGAATTAAATCGTAAATATCGAATTCACAAACCGACCTACGAAATTGCCGGTCGAGTTACTTATATAAATTCTCGTGAAGTTACCCAAAGATTTTCTTTGAAGCCTGGTCATTACATCTTAATTCCTTCTGCTTATAATGTTGATGATGAAGGTTCATATTTCATGCGTTTGTTTTCTTCAAATCCTATAAATGCCAGATTACTTAGAAAAGATTCTCCAAAACGTAAATGGTATTATCCGTTAATTTATTACGGAAAGCCTTATTTTGTTGGGACTATAAGAGCTCAAATATTAGGAGGTCAATTCTCACGGCGCATTGATAAAGTATATATTAAAATAACATTTACAGATTTTAAAAAGACTGTAGTTTCACAAATAACTCCAAAATTCGATACTGTAAAACCAGAAATTGGTGCAGAATATCTATTTTATGCAAGAGATCCTTCAAACGCGAGACTTTTATTTCAATTATATCAACATCAAACGTTTGGTAAAGATATATTGATAGGTGAAACGAGAATATTAGTTAATGATTATTCAAAAGAAGGGAAAGATGGAAAATTTTGGGAAATTACAAAGACTTTAACACGTGTTATTCAAGTTCCAAAACATATGGGGATGATCAGAACAGAAGAAGTAGAAGCTTCCGATAACCCTGCTCATGTATATAGTCGTAATGAGCGTCTCGCGTCTGGATCACACACATCTTTAAGTATGCCTGGAGGATATGGTCGTGGAATAGAATACGGCGTTGGTGGAATCGGGGTAATGGACTCAAGTACATATGATATGCCTAACAAGAAGGTTTTTGTGGAACAAATGAGAAGGAGAAAGAAGATAAAAAAGGTTGGCCAAACTACGTTTGTTCCACAAATTGTTGATGCTGGAATTGGTGATTTGCAAATAAGGCTGTTATATTCTTGCGGGATTAATTCTTGAATTATATTTGACATTTGGTGAGAATCAATTTATATGGCTTGAAAGTAAATCAAAGTACATATCTAGTTTCCAAGCATCATAATTAACAAGATCAACATAGTATATTCTCTTTTCCTTTTATATAGGAAAGTATATATAGTTTTATCAACCATTTAACAAAGATAATTAATCGTATGTAAATAATGTGTATGTTTTAAGAGCTTTTAATAATATTAATCATTTTTTGTTCTATAACGCCACCGATCTTTGTAATCATCAAAAATCTTAAATCAAGAATTGTAAACAACATTATCTTATTGCATAATATTGTAGTCATGCACCCTTTGCGTTTTTAGAAATTAATGAAGAGAAGCAAAACTGTTGGCCAAGCAAACAAATGTGATACAAGTCAATTAATATGATTTGATGTCTCGAAACATAATCTTAGATTATAATGGCAAATATAAGGTGTAATCTATTAAAACAGACTATTTTTGAATACTGTATATTGCAAAAATAAGTTACGTCGAAAATAAACTATCTTAGTTTTTTCTCAATATGTACAAACAGTTACTACATATAAAAGTCAAAATTTTACTAAGTAAACCGTTTTTGAGCTTTTAAGTTGTTCAGCATATCAATATGCATATATTCTGAAGTTTTATATCATTATACAATTGCAATAAACCTAGCAAGCAAGCTAAATATTTTCTTATTCTTATAACGTAGATAGTTTCTTCACAATTTTGTATGAAACATTGCAGCTTTTTGCATTATGACTCTTCTTAAACAATTGCGACATATATACCCATCTTCAGAATGAACATTAGCATTTGTATTTTGTTTTTTACAACTAGTCACATGTGCAATTTTTGGTTGTCTATTTTAATCTAAGGTTCTATATTAAATGTCATATCTATAATCTGCTAGAAGATTATCTGTTTAAGCTCTCTGATCATCTGCTTTGCTAATTATTATTTTTATTACAAACCTTTTATATATATTTATATATACTGTCTAAGTAGTATATTTTTTTTTTTCTGAACTGTTATTTAGATTGTATTTATCTCAAAATACATCATCTGATAGTAGACTTAAAGAATATTTTTATTAATTAATCTATTTATTTTATAGTTCTATTAATAAGATTATATTTTTGCAAAGTTTATCCAAACTCTAATATTAATTTTATAACATATTTCTAACACTTTAGTATACTTCTATTTTGTTCTTAAAATTTTAATTTAGTTAACTTAAAAGGATTGTAACTTGTTTTTAGTATGTTAAATTTGACTTAATATTTTTTTCTTAGTTCAAATCTGATAGTCTAGTTAATAATACCTTCTATTTAGAGGTTTTGTCTATCTAATTTTATTATATTAATATCTGTTTTCTAGATTTAATCTTTACAATTTTATTATTAAAAGTTTGTATTATCTTACTATTTAAATCTTTTTAGATAGATTTCTGGTTTTTTCAATTTTATAAATTTATACAGTCTTAAAAACTTATTTTAGATTTGTATTATCTAATATTAGTTTGCATTCTTTTGAATAACTAAAATTATATAGATATTTTATAATCTGCTAATTATATTAGTATAATTATAATTATAAATATTTTATTTTTTTTAATTTTTTTTTTCTCTATAAGCAGTCATGCTAGTACTTTATTGAGTTTTTGAAATTACATTTGTAACTACTGTATATACATATCTTTAATATCTAAGTCTAGCATTACCTAGTCACCTTAATGGTACCTAAGTACAACCTGTCACATTACTTTAAACAGAAGTAAGCTACTTGTTTAACTACTTAAAGTCCATAATAAAAGAGTCTTCTTCCTTCTATGACAAGCCTCAAAATTGTTTTTGTTACTTCTTTCTCAATTTGTTTTCCTTTTTCTCTTATTTCTTTTTTCTTTTCTATTTTTCTTGATCTGCCTTTTTCTGTTTTCCTGATTTTTTTGAACTTCTATCTTTTCTTTTACTTCTTCCTGTTATTTCTATTTTTTCTTCTATTTGATAATTTTTTCACAATGTATTCTCTATACTTGTTTATAAAACATATTCTAGATTATTATTGCTACTGTGTTTGCAAACTGGTGTCTTGATCTTGTATTTAATAGTTTTGCTAATTTGTCTTGTGTTTTTTTTGAAATTAGGCCTTTCATTAGTGCTTCTCTTATTTTGATTTTTTCTGTTTCTGTTTTCCCAAAGAGTGCTGCATATAAAATGTATAAGGGAAACTGAATCTTTTCTTCTTCTTTTAATTTCTTCTATGCTGTTGCAATAGTCACTTTTTGAATTCTCTTTCAGAAATTTCTTTGCTCCTTATATACTGCCAAGTGTACTTATGTCTCTTTTACTTTATTCTGGCATACTTGGCATTCTACTGTTATATATATATTTAGTTTTTTTCTGTTGAGTTCTTTTAAGGTTAGAAGTTTATCTATTATGTATTTAATAAATACACTTCTTTTAGTACTGCTTCTTTTTGTTATGCAATGTATTCCCTTGGTCATCTTAAACCTTTTCTAAAAATAAGTCCAATTATAAATTGTGATTTCTGCTTCTGGTTCTAAATCTTTAACTGCTCTCATTTTTTTCTATTCTGTTCCTAGTCTTGCATTTGTTACTAATTTGCAAAGCAGTCTTGCTAGTATGTCAGTTTGTCAGTTTTCTCACTTTAGGCAGTATTCTATCTCTTTACAACTGACTTTTTTGGCTTGTACTATTTTCCTTCTCATAGTTTTCTTTTTTGCTAAGCTATCCACTTTATCATTCTATTTGTCTTTATTGTGACTTTTAACTTTAACTAAATTTATCTGAATATTTTTTATCTTAACAAGGTATTTAATTTTTTTTTTTTTTTTTTAATATTAACGATGAGGCCATGCCTTTAACTTTATTAAAATTCAATTGAAGTTTTTACAAAGAAAAGCTTGCTTTTAAATTACATAT